TGCAGATCAGTTGGTGCGAAGGTGTGTTCCTAAGGAAGAGATGAATGAAATATTGCATGGCCGTCATGCTTCGCCATATGGAGGTCATCACGATGGGGATAGAGCCGCCCAAAAAGTGCTACAACAGGTTTCTATTGGCCAAAATTGTTTAAGGATGCACATGCCTTTGATAAAAATTGTGACATATGCCAAAGAACCAGAACTATCACGAGGAAGCACGATATGCCTTTGAAAAATATTCTGGCAGTAGAGCTTTTTGATGTTTAGGGGATTTATTTTATGGGACCGTTCCCATATTCTAATGGTCAGAGGTACATCTTGTTGGCAGTCGACTATGTTTCTAAGTGAGTGGAGGCCATTGCTCTTCCTACTAATGACGCAAAGGTAGTGGTAAGCTTTGTAAAGAAGCACATCTTCACACACTTTGGGACTCCAAGAGTGTTGATAAGCGACGGAGGAACTCACTTTTGTAACAAATTGCTGAATAATGTTCTTGCAAAGTATGGAGTTAAGCACAAGGTTTCCACTGCCCATCATCCCCAAACGAGTGGTCAAGTAGAAGTTTCAAACAGAGAGGTAAAGCAGATTCTGGAGAAAACAGTAAGTGGATATAGAAAAGACTGGGCCGGGAAGCTAGACGACACATTATGGGCATATCGAACTGCATACAAGACTCCCATAGGTACTTCTCCATATAAGTTAGTTTATGGGAAGGCGTAAAACTTGCCCGTCAAGCTTGAACACAAAGCCTATTGGGCAATTAAAAAGCTGAATATAGATATGGACTTAGCTGGTGAGAAGAGGTTGCTGCAACTCAACGAGCTTGATGAGTTTCGATTGCACATATATGAAAACGTCAAATTATGTAAAGAAAAAATGAAGAGGTGGCATGACAAGCACATCTGACATCGAGAGTTTGAGCAGGGTCAAGAAGTTCTCTTGTTCAATTCCAGGTTGAAGCTATTCCCTGGAAAGCTTAAGTCTCGTTGGGCAGGTCCTTTTGTTGTGGTAAGTGTGAGGCCTCATTGAGCGGTGGAACTGCGTGATACGAGCTCAAGTGGTACCTTCTTTATAAATGGCCAGAGAATAAAACATTATTGGGGTGGTGACATTGCACGTCACAATACCTCGGTAGACTTGGCTGATGCTTAAACACGTGTTGAGTCGTGTCACGACGTTAAATCAGGCGCTCGTTAGAAGGCAACCCAATTTTTACTGCTTTCGAAGCATAGTTTTTTGTTTTCCTTTAGTTAGAGTAGGCAACCCAATGTTCTTTGTAGTTGCAAAAAAAAAAAAGAATCTTAGGTGGAAATGGTGTGGAATGTGTGTAATGTAGGTATTGAGTGCTCGGGTAGTCGGGATTGTTTATCACCAAAAAAAAGCGAAATGAGCATCCAGCCCAGCGCCCCATACTGGCTGGGGCGCACTTTACAGTATGCTGAAGAACCCACAATGCCAGCCCCAGCGTGGGGCGCTGGGCTGCGGGGTCGGGTAAGTGTATTATTATTATTAATATTTTATTTTGTTTGTTTTTTTGTTTTCTTTCTTAATTTAAAATACCAAACCCACATAACCCTACCCAATTACCCATATACACACACACAATCTAACCCATACCCAATTACTCAAACCCATCCCCCACCTAAATTAAAATAACTAAAACCCAAAACCCCTCCCCTTTCACTCTCACGTAAATTGACCGAACTTCTCTTCTTCTTCTGCCTCGTTTCTGCCTTGCTCTCAAACTCAAAAAATTTCTTGCTCAATTTAATCTCAAGAGTCAAAGGTATGTTCTTCTTGTTATCTCTTTTCTTATATTTTGGAAGTTCTTAGAGTATTTGTAGTCTTCTTTCTCCCCCAATCCTCAAATCCCCTAAGTCTCTTAATCATACTTTGATGTTATTGTGGGTGGCTTATGGTACACGAAATTGGTGCAACCACATTACAAGCCATACTCCTAGTTGTTCTTAATTTGAGATTGTTGAACCTTTACCTCCTAAGGCACTTAGTTGCTAAAAGAAGTAAGGTGAAAGATTGTGAAGTGGTTGTTCAGTGGAACCATGAAAGGGCCCTTAAGGTGCACTAAAATTGTGAATAAAGGTCACTAGCTTATGAACTTCAATGCATGGAGTGTGTGAAAGAAAAAGAAAAAAAAAGGGGAGAAAGAAAAGTTTTGCAAGAAAAAGCAAACAAAAGTTCAAATAATGTAGAAAGACACACCTCCTAATCCTTCTCACTCGTGCTAGTGAAACCATAGAGGTGCTTGATGGAAAAGAGAGCTATGTTAATTATGGTGTATGACAAGTGAATGAACTGAGAAGAAATTGCGCTTGAATTGTGAGTGTAGTGTATTAAAGTGCTTAGGAGGGTTAGTCACTATTCCTAAATGTATCCTACCCGTCCCTTAGCCTACATTACAACCTTAAAGTCCTAATTGATCCTAGATTTAGCTAGCTTAGATTAGTAGAGATGTACACTACGGGCAAGCTTATGGTACGACCACGAGATGCACATAAATTCTTTGTGAGAGTGAGTGAATGTTGTTAAATTGTGTGATGTCCTTAATTTATGTTCAATGACATATTTGAATTTGTGGACTACTTTGATATTCACACTTTTGCTTGTGGTGAGGGCACTTGATATCATGACAGATTGGTGATGTTGTACACTTTCTTGTGTTGGGTGAGTGCGTGAGTTGAGGATGATTAGTGGTAACGAGTCGTCTCTTGAGGTAAGGTAGTTATGGAGAGGTTACTTGAGTTGATTGAGTTGGTTGAATAACATTAGGTATACTTGGGCTATTTAAAAACGGGAAGAATATGAAATTTGTGTGTTCATGCTTAATTGCCGACATCGATCATAGTCAAAAGGTAGGGTGTTTGATTGAGTTAATTGTGAAGTCCTCTTTCATAGTGCTAAGTAAGTTTTGGGGGTATTAATATAGTTCCATTGCTCAAGGACGAGCAAGAGTCTAAGTGTGGGGTGTTGATAATCGTCTTAATGTATGCATATTTTGATATATATCGCCTCACATTTTGCTCATGTCTTGATTTGAGATGTTTAATATGATTATTTGTGCAAAATTTTGGTATTTCTATGTGTAGGGATCATTCGGATGCAATTTGGGACGAAAGGGCGCGAATTGGAGCGAAATCGGGACAAAAAGGCATAAAGTAAAATTTGAGGGCCACAGCCAGCGTGGGGCGCTGGCGGTGGCGCAATTTAAAGCAGCTAAAATATTTGAGCGCCAGGGCCAGCGCCCCACGCTGCCCTGGACACTCAAGACGGGAAGGTAGCCTTTTTCGACTAGGACTCGGTCATTTCGACCCCTAAACGCCCCCAACTCATATAAAAGCCAACCTAAACCTATTTTTACAGGGAGGGACGTGACTTTGAGAGAGGAAGGGAGGTGCCAAACACTCGGGAGCACGGATTTGATCAATTTTTCCATCCCTTTCCTAGTACTCATTGATTTTATGTTTGAAAACTTTATTTTTGATGATTGTATGAACATGAGTGGCTAAGAACCCTATTGTTCTAGGGTTATGGGTGATACATGAATGTTGATGTTTGAAATTTAATTTAACGAAGTTGATTTTATCATATTGGGTTGTTTATTTAATTTCTTTCTTAATTATTTTGCGGAGTAGCTAACAATGAAATACTATCTACGAATCTAGAGTTGAACTCGAAAGTGGAAATCCTAGATTGCATATATAATTAAATAGAGCAAGATCTTGAACCCGGGCATTGGGGAACCNAACCCGAGCATTGGGGAACCGATTCGCAATTAGGATAGACATATACCTAATTGCCTTGCTCGGTTGGAATACAGGAATTGTAAATGCATTCTTGTTAATATTAATTCCATAGACATATAGGCATTGAGTTAGCTTGAATAGGCGAGTAAGGACTCAACAGATTCTTATGAGTAATATCAACCCTGTCAATCAACAATCCAGATAAATCAATTAGTCATTTTAAACTAAGAACGCAACATGATTGATAGCTAACTCGTGACCCTGGAATATTATCTCCTATTGATTGTTATTCGAAATTGTTTAAATATTGTGGTTGATTTCTAGTATTTCATTACTTGATAGTTTTTAGGTAGTAAATTAGAAAATTATCTATTTTGTGAGAAATCGCTTGAATCGATAAGTTATTTGAGTTTGAATTAGTCAAAAGTTAATCATAAGTCTTCGTGGGAACGATACTCTACTCACTACTCTATTACTTGACGACCACGTATACTTACGTGTGTGTGTTTGGTCGCAACAGTTATCAATTTAAATTACTCTCTAAACTACATCTTTCAAGATAATAATACTACTATCTTTCTTCCAATTTACATGGCATGCATTATTTCAATTTTTGAAAGTTGCAAAACATTTAACCATCATTTTAACTATATACAAGTTTCAAGAATTTAAATTTAAGCTACTTGCAATGTCCTTGTCTTTTTAAAATCTAATTATTCAATCATTAGTTTAATAACTTAACTTATATACGCTGACAATACCATGTAAAGAATATTTATACTATCAATTATTTATAATTATTGTAACAGATAATCTACCTTATTTTCTTGGTTACTGATATGTTTTGTTTTATGGACAATTGTTGTAATTATCATTTAGACGACTCAATTTTAAATATAAAAATTCTTTACATCGTCATGGATAGAAGTTAAACTCTTATTATAAGAGTCGTCTCATTATCATAAATATATTCACTAGTTAATTTCATATGTTAAAATTTCCATCTTTATAAGTTTTGTAGACAAAATCATTCGGTACCTATGCTGGTGAAAAGCAACAAGTATATGATAGAATAATCGAAATGCACCAAATTAACATGGACAATATCGTTTTAATAGAAACTATCTTAAACTTTATGTCCAATCAAATTTCATCATATAAAACAAAATGGATGAAGTATTTTCATTACATTCAAATTGATGAACTGTAATACTTCTAATACAAAACCAAAATTTGCAGCTACTAGCAGGGCTACTGGGAGTAGAATCAGGTCAAGACGTAGTTCTGAGAACATTGCTTTACGAGCGAGGAAGAGAGAACGTGGAACCCTACGGGATAGCAGTAGCAGAGTTCACAAACCGGATATCAGAGCTGAGAAACAAATTGGGACGCCGTGGATTGAAAGATGAAGGACTCAAAGTGAATCCAGCAGTAGGTGCTGAAGGGAAAATACGAGGAAGTATATTAGCAGGAGATAAATACTCGCTTTCCTATGACAGAATGCCAGAGGAAATACTGCGAATAGTGTACGTAAGTGGAAATGAGAATAAACCAGGTGGATTTTACCCAAAAGGAGCAGACGGCCAAATAGCAAAATCCTATCTTGGACTTGGAGGGAATTAAACTTTAGGAAATTAAAGAAATGTTTGATTCCTACATGTGTAATAAAAGTGAGCGAAAGCTTCGCACTAAAAGAGAAATTATACATGAATAAAAATGTGTTTTTTTTAAGAGATGAGCTTATTGGACATTTGTGCTTATTATTTTCTGAATTTTACGAGGAATCATGTGTATGTTCACGTTGCTTCATTAGATTTCATCTTATGTCAGATGATATTAAAGATAAGTTTTCAAATTTGAAATGGGAAGATGTCATCAACAACAAAAACAATCAACAACATATCTGGTATATTTTCACATGTAGGGTCTGTGAATGGTAATGTATACGCCAACCTTACCCCTGCCTTATGGAGGTAGAAAGGTTATTTTTGATAGACCCTAGACTCAAGAAAAACAATTCTCAGCAGGATTGAAAAATAAAGTCGGTAGTGATCAAGAAGCTATGTTGAAAATAACAAAGACAAAAACAGTAACAATAACAAAATAACTAAACGCAATAATAAAATCGACACAAAGAAAACAACATATAGTAATAAAAATTGAAAACTATCTAAATATGAGAATGACAATAATATAAATAATACTACTAATATGGAAAATGGCAAGATGTCATGTTAGAAGAAAATGAGTATAGCGTTTTTTTTACCTATGAACTTATTGACTGGAACATGACAAAATCAGCAAACGTGACTAGCGCTTGCAGGTTGCTTGATTCAAAGACAAGTTAAGCAAGAATTAACAATATATATATATATATATACACACACACGCGCACATCACCTCGCAGTAGGATTTTTCTCTCTTTTCTCTCGGCGCACGTTAACGTACCTTTGCTAACGTACGCAGCTGAAAACCATGGGAGGAAGAGGACGACCTAAACGGAACTCTGCAAAAATTCCGTCCACTGATCCAAGATCCACTGATGCAAGGAATGCAGTAATGGAACTTTTTGTCTCACCCAAAGGGATGAGAATTGAGGAGCCAACTAAAAACACCACTCCGAGGAATATGACGAGTGAGCAGAGCAATATAGTCTCAGATCAAGCAATCAACAATGGCAAGCAGAAAGCAATGATAGCAACACCTGAAAGTGGTAGTGGAATAGGTCATAGATATGGGAGCGGAATGGCAGAGATGAACTCAAAAACAACAAATATCAATGCAACAGTGCCATGCAAATCTGACAAGGCAGAAAATCCCAAAGACACTAACCAAATGGAATTCAATCATGGGCAAATGTTATAGTAGGGAATAAGCTGGCATCGAGAGGTATGAATCTTCAATATATTGCACCAATGATACAATATGGGGAGAAAATTGTGCAATTAGACCTAGAGGATGTTGAGCAGGAAAATAAAAAATGGAGCACAACTATTGTTCTGTATGTCATTGGGAATTCACCATCCATAGGAGCAATGGAACGATTCTGTGATGACCCAAAATATCATCTTTAATTTAAATATTTATTACTGTATTTTAAGACCTCAAAAAGCACTATTCATTACTCCCCAAATTGCATGCGCAGTCCGTATAATATTTCAGAAAGTTTTTATATGAAAGATGGATTAAAATGTGAAATAGAATTTTAAAACTCAATTAAGTTAACTTTAGTCAATATTTTGAGCAAACGGACCCGAATCAGTATGTTGATAGTTCCGGTGGGTCCGTATCGTAATTTGGGACTTGGGCGTATGTCCGGAATTGAATTTGGAGGTCCCTAGCTCAACTTATGGCCATTTAACGGAAACTAAAAATTTAAAGGCTAAAGATTGCCAAAGTTTGATCACGGATTTGACTATTTGATATCGGAGTCGGAATCCAATTCTGGAAATTTTAATATGTCTGTTATGTCATTTATGACTTGTGTACAAAATTTGAGGTCAATTGGACTTGATTTGATAGGTTTCGGTATCGAATGTAGAAGTTAAAAATTCTTAAGTTACTTAAACTTGAATTGGGGTATGATTCGCGATTTTAGCATTGTTTGATGTTATTTGAGGTTTCGACTAAGTTTGTATGATATTTTAGGATTTGTTGGTGTATTTGATTGAGGTCCCGGGGGCCTAGGGTGGATTCCGAATGGTTAACGGATCAAAATTTGGACTTAAGGAAAATCTAAAATTTTGGCCTTCTGGTGTAATCGCACCTATGGACTTTAGACCGCAAAAGCAATCCAGGCCTCGCAGAAGCGGAGGGGCGCCGCAGAAGCGCGACCGCAAAGGCGGCACACGCATCGCAGAAGCGGGAAAAGGGGAAGGGCAGCCTTGTCGCAGAAACGGACGCTTCTTCGTAGAAGAAAGTCCGCAGAAGCGGACTCTTGTCCGCAGAAGCGATCCAGCCCGCAGAAGCGACCCCAATCTCTGCAAATGCGGTTAAGTGTCCGCAGATGTGAAAAAACTTTGACAGAACCCATAAAATCGGAAGTTAATCATTTTTACTCATTTTTGAGTTTTGAGTCTCAGATTTAGGCGATTACAAAGGGATTTTTCACGACTTTGAATTGTGTAAGTATTCTATAATCAAAAGTGATTATATTTCATAAATCCATGTCTTTATTCATCATTTATTTCGGATTTAGATGGAAGAAATTGGAGTTTTTGTAAAACTTTCCAAAGACGAAAATTTAAGATTTAAAGGTCCATTTGACATCGGAATTTAAAAATTTTAGTATGGTTGGACTCGTCTCGGAACGGGTGTTCGGATTTCGTATGTTTTCCTGAGATTCGAGACATGGGACCCACTGTTGATTTTTGAGATGAATTTTGGATTTTAATCCGAAAAATTACTAAATTCGTATGGAATTAATTCCTACGATTTGTATTGAGTATATTGAATTGTTTATGACTAGATTTGATGATTTCGGACATGAATTCGCGAGGCAAAGGTTTATTGGAATCTCGAGTTAGTTGCAAAGCGAGGTAAGTGTCGTGGTTAACATTGACTTGAGGGAGTAGGATTTTATTTGTTTATTTGCTACGTGATTTAATGTGCGGGTACAACGTATATGTGAGGTGACGAGTACTTATGCGTTGTGGTTGAGTCAAAGCATGCTGGGATATTTAATTCATTTTGAATAATTATTTATTTAATTAAGATATTCCTGTTTAAGTTTATTATTGATTATTTGATAGTTATTCATGAAATTTTTATTGATATAATTATTGTTGAATATGGTGAGAAAGAGCGTAAAAGCACGAAGGGTGATGTCGTGCCATTTTTATTATTTATACTATCACTGTCATGGTGAGAAAGAGTGTAAAAGCACGAAGGGTGTTGCCGTATCATTTTTGAGTGTAAAAGCACGAAGGGTGATGTCGTGCCATTTTTATTATTTATACTATCACTGTCATGGTGAGAAAGAGTGTAAAAGCACGAAGGGTGTTGCCGTATCATTTTTGAGTGTAAAAGCACGAAGGGTGATGTCGTGCCATTTTCAGAGAGTGTAAAAGCACGAAGGGTGATGCCGTGCCAAGAGAGAGTTATAGCACGAAGGGTGATGCCGTGCAAATTATTATTATTTATTTATCAAATTATGGGAGGAATGAGAGTAAAAGCACGAAGGGTGGTGCCGTGCCATTTTCATATTATCAGTTACTCATTTTATTGTTGATGAATTAATTGGCTGCTACGTAGCACTTCTCCTACTGAAATTTCTATATCATTCCCCTTCGCATGTTCCCTCCCAAATTTATAAATTATTATTTATTGTGTTATTGTTTCTTCGTATTTGTATATACTTGTACAGGTTATTTACGTACGTGTCTTGTCATAGCCTCGTCACTACTTCGTCGAGGTTAGGCTCGACACTTACGGAGTACATTGGGTCGTTTGTACTCATACTACACTCTGCACTTCTTGTGCAGATTTTGAAGTTGGTTCTAGCGGCGTACCATAGACTTGATCGGATTCAGCTACCCAGAGGAGACTTGAGGTATAACTGCACAGCGTCTGCAGTTCTGAAGTCCCCTTCTATCTTATCTTTGTTGTGTATTATCATTCAAACAGCTTGAATTTTATTCAGACCTTTATTTGTATTATCCTAGAAACTCATGCCCTTGTGATACCAGATTCGGGGATGTATTTTGATGATTCGGTTGTTGTGGTCTTCCGCACTTTATTTTAGTAATTGACTTCCGCTTAAATTGATTTGTTTAAAAATGGTTAAGATTTTTCTAATGTTGGCTTACCTAGCAAGTAAAATGTTAGACGCTATCACGGTCCCGAAGGTGAGAATTTCTGGTCGTGACAAGATGGTATCAGAGCACTAGGTTACATAGGTCTCACGAGTCATGAGCAGGCTTAGTAGAGTCTGAAGGATCGGTACGGAGACGTATGTACTTATCTTTTAGAGGCTATGGAGTTTAGGAACAATATTACTTTTTTCTTATTCTGTCATGCGATCTTATTCAATCATCGATGATTGAACCATTCTATTCTTATTCTCTCGCATATGGTGAGAACACGTAATACATCTACCGATAGACAGGGACCAGAGCCCCCGGTGGAAACTATGACCAGGGGTAGAGGTCGAGGCCGAGTTTGTGCTAGAGGCAGAGGCAGAGGTAGAGCTCAGTCTAGAACTCAAGCAGCAGCACCTGTTGTAGAACCTCAGGTGGATCTTCAGGAGGGGGTTCCATTTCAGACTGTACCGGTTAGACCAGTTCAGGTCTCGAAAGTATTCATTGGTGCTCCAGTGCTTCAGGACGCTCTAGTCCGTTTGGTGAGTCTTATGGAAGGCGTGACCCAGAATGGTATATTTCCAGTGGCACCAGCCGTCTCACATGCTGGGGGAGGAGCACAAACTCCCACTACTCCCGTTTCGGAGCAGATGGCTCCCCAGTATCAAGCTCTAGTCGCCCCGCCAGTTGGGGTAGTTCAGCCAGTTGTTGCGGCACAGGCCGGTGATAGGCCTGCCATGTCTTCTGAGGCCTTATTAAGACTGGATAATTTTACTAAGCTCTTTCCATTTCACTTCAGTGGTACACCTTCTGAGGACCCACATG